ATTTTTCCCCATTTTTCCCCCCTGTTTTCCAGGGAACATCATGGGTGTGGGGCAGTGTCTGACCCATCCCAAATATCCCGAATTTTTCCCAAATTTCTCCTGATTTTTCCCCGAATTTTCCCCGAATTTTCCCCGAATTTTCCCCGAATTTTCCCCGAATTTTCCCCGAATTTTCCCCAATTTTCTCCCAATTTTTTCCCAATTTTTCCCCAGTTTTCCCCCAATTTCCCCCCAATTTTCCCCAATTTTTCCTCAAATTTTTCCCCGAATTTCGCCCGATTTTTCCCCGAATTTTCCCCGAATTTTCCCCGAATTTTCCCCGATTTTCTCCCAATTTTCTCCCAATTTTTTTCCCAATTTTCCCCCAATTTCCCCCCCCAATTTTCCCCCATTTTTCCCCATTTTTCCCCCCTGTTTTCCAGGGNCCTGTTTTCCAGGGAACATCATGGGTGTGGGGCAGTGTCTGACCCATCCCAAATATCCCGAATTTTTCCCAAATTTCTCCTGATTTTTCCCCGAATTTTCCCCGAATTTTCCCCGAATTTTCCCCGAATTTTCCCCGAATTTTCCCCGAATTTCGCCCGATTTTCTCCCAATTTTTCCCCAGTTTTTCCCCCAATTTTCCCCATTTTTCCCCCCTGTTTTCCAGGGAACATCATGGGTGTGGGGCAGTGTCTCCTGCACGGCCTCACCGTCGTCATCCGCCCCAAGTTCTCGGCCTCTCGCTTTTGGGACGATTGTGTCAAACATCGCTGCACGGTGAGCCCCAAGCCCAGCACTGCCCCAAACCCCACATTCCCGGCCCATTGCCCCCTTTATTCCCCTTTCTCATAATTTTTTAATTTTTTCCCCCTTTTTCCCCCATTTTTCCCCCATTTTTCCCCCATTTTCCCTCAATTTTCCTTAATTTTTCCCCATTTTATTCCAATTTTTTCCCAATTTTTTTCCCATTTTTCGCAAGTTTTTTTCCCCCATTTTCCCGCCTTTCCCATCAATTTTTAATTTTTTCTCCCATTTTCCCCCCATTTTCCCCCATTTTTCCCCATTTTATCCCATTTTCCACATTCCCTTCCCATTTCCCCCTTTATTCCCCTTTCCCATCAATTTTTAATTTTTTCCCCCTTTTTCCCCCATTTTTCCCCCATTTTTCCCCCATTTTTCCCCCATTTTCTCTCAATTTTCCTTAATTTTTCCCCATTTTATTCCAATTTTTCCCCATTTTTTCCCCATTTCTTCCCAATTTCCCCCATTTTTTCTCAATTTTTCCCCATTTTTTCCCATTTTTTCCCCATTTTTCGCAATTTTTTCCCCATTTTCCCCCCTTTCCCATCATTTTTTAATTTTTCCCTGCATTTTCCCTCCATTTTCCCCAATTTTCCCCCATTTTCCCCCATTTTCCCCCATTTTCGCCCGTTTTTCCTCATTTTTCCCCCCATTTTATCCCATTTTCCACATTCTCTTCCCATTTTCCCCTTTTTTCCCTCTTTCCCATTAATTTTTTATTTTCCCCCATTTTTTACTCAGATTTTT